TATATATTATATGAGTGATATTATATGAGTGATTATGAAAAAACATAAAAGTATACAATATGAGCATGACAATCATACAAGCTTAATTCATCATCTGCTTTTGATAAACCAGATATATTTTGGTTTTCTTTTTTTTAAATCATGCACAATTTTAAGAATTTTATCTAGTACTACCTTTTGTGTAAGAAATTTTTTGCACAATTAATTTGTGCAAATTTAATATTAGCGTAATGACATAGCATTGTTTATTAGCAGTGTTAATTTTGTAAGCATATTTCCGATAACGATATCCACGAGTTATACGAAACATATTATTCATAATTCACAATTACGAAGGAACAAATAGTGTCCGATCGAAGATATTGTATAACTATCCGCGTTATTATCAAAATGGCGATAACCGGAAATATTCGTGCGTCGAAGTTGGATAAATTTTAAGTTACGTAATTCCTCGTGCAATAAGCGATAATTCAGCACATATGCGTCACCGTGTCTTGAAGTATCAATTTCTTTGTAAAAGGTATCTTTAATACGATAAATAACTTTATTTTTTAATTAAAAAATTCTATTTTTTTTTTCAGCAAACGATTAGTTGAAATATTGAAAATATTGAATGTACCAAAGAAAATATTGTTCTATTAATTTTTAAAGATAATATCATTTATTATTTATTCTAAATATAACTTATATTTGAGACTTTTAGATAGCAGAGACCTCTAAAAGCCATTTTATTCATTTTTTATCAGTCGAATCTTTTAGTTTCCAGTGCAATGTAAATACAACGCAAATGAAATAAAGAAATAAGATTTAAAAATGAGAAATAAAGAAATTTTACTTTTGAAAACCTACAACATATTCAGAATAATATATCCAAGCTTTAAATTGTGTAAATATTTATACACGATTAACAAAAATAAAGATTCTTAATATTACGAGTTACATTTATTACGTTATTTACATTCTAAATAAATTGTAGCTCGTAACACGGAATTAAAAATGAAGTCTAAAAACATTTCCTGGAACATTTCTCAAACTACAACAAACATCAAAATTTCTACAGTCTGTCAGACTTCACCCTTACCAGCTATAGGTTAATCCCCATGTGACCGTGAAGAATTATGAATAAAAGGGAATGAGTTACAGTTTTATGCAACAATTTTATCAGTAAAAGGCAGTTCAGTTACATAAGCAGCTAATTTAAAAATCGTAACCGACTTTGGTAATGCAGTTGATCAACTTTTAAACTACTGCTCGAATTACCTTG